TCTTAAAGCGTTAAAGTAATATGAACGGCAACATGGTGAAGTAGTTAAAGTGCTGGGCTAGGAGCAGAGAGGCCCAAGTACTAATCTTCCCTTAGGCACTGAAGCCAATCAGGTGACTTTGGGCCAGCCACTCTCTCTCTCTGTATGTCAAGCTTTGCAACAGGCCACCTAACAAACAGAATCCCTTACACATCCTATACTCATAGCTGTGCTGTTTGAACTAGGTAAATGGAGTGAAAAAACAAGGAGGTTGTGTAACAAACACTAAGAGGAACAAAGTGCTAAAGTGACACAAATTTTCTTGTAGGTTTCCAATTAAAGATTACAGCGCTTACAAGAATAATGGTGGAATATGTAACTTTTTCCTATCAAGATATTATAATTTTTAAAAGAACTCTTTAATGCATTAGTTTTCATCTCTGTCTCTCTTTTACAATAAAGACTTTAACAAATGTCTCACAAAATATCATGAAGATAACGTATGAGTTTCTTTTGCCTATTATTCTGTCTGGAAGCATAAGTCAACTTGTCAGCTCCGGAACCTGTACCAATCCACCTCTCATTTTTCAGAATCCTTTCTGAAAAGAAATTGCTAAACCATTGTATTTTTTTGCAACTTGAATAGAGTTGCAAAAGTGATGAAGTGTTTTAGGTATGGTCCTGCATATTTTAAGAAATACTCTTCTTAAAAAGTTTATTTATTTTCAAATTTAATTGTCATTGTTTTGGGAACTGCAGACCTTTTTTAATTTTTCCAATTACTTTTATTTCTGTTACCCTTTTTCTAAGCAAAAAAACATCCTACAGGCATAAAAGTTATGAGAGATATTTTGCTTTGCAAATTTGGTATCAGTATTCTGAAAGTAACAATATGTGCCAAAACTGGAATTAAGTGAATATGCTCACACACACTTAGGGAAGCCATCATTCATCCCTATTAACCTATAATTATGAAAAGGATCACAACCAGTAATTAAAATGTCTCTTTTTAAATTGCTTCTGACTAGATTTTGCATTACCATGATGTAATATTGGATAGTTAGGTTTCTATTCTTTCTCTAAAGCACTCAGTGCAATTGCCTCACTTAATATTTACAATATAGCCTTCGCTGTATAGAAGGATAAAAGTATTGTTCAAATATTGTTTTTTTGTGATTAGTTCCTTCCATAATATTCAAATGACTTTACTTCCTATTTCTGAAGAAAAAGTGCCATAAGCCTTCCAAAGGGTTACTCACATCTGATGGAAAAATGTATAAACATTTTTATCATTGCAGTTATAATGTTGTGAACACCAAGAATACATATAGACATGAAAAAAGCAATTACAATACTTTCCCCCATGTTTTGTGCTTAAAAAGCAAGGATTGGCAGAGTTGCAATGCTTCCTTACCCCAGACTCAAAGACTTGATTCTACTGGGGAAAATTTGGATTGGCAACTAATGTCAGATTGCCAATTTGGTTAGTTTTAACTGATGTGTCCTGAATACATTACACAAAGAAAAGAGACATGCAGTCTCCATCTGACCAAAAGCAAACTACATAACGTTTCAGAATTCAAGCTTGCTATGTTGTTTTCTATATAGTCAATTTTAATTTCAAACAGAACCAAATTATTACAAAAGTTTACACATGCTTAATTAATATGATGGACTTCCTTCTTCCACTTGCTTCAGAGGAAGAGTACTAAAATTAAAATATGTTAGCATGTATGAAGGCTATGTTGTACCATAGCTAATTAAAATCTAAAAAAACCCCACAGTATAGAGCTGTGCCCTAAATCCATGTTTCTACAGAACAACAGTGAAACAAACAGGTTGTAATTTTTATTTTTAATGTAATCTTTGGCTCTGGATTTAAGTAGCAGGTTTATAGAACTTACAGGAGCCTCAGTTCCATGCTTTTAGACAACAACAATAGAGATTCATGATTTTAGTCGTGAATATATGTAATTGTGACTTAATGGGGAAATTGAAAGTTTCTATGTAAGCATATCTGAGGAGGATGAGTGAGGAGCTGGGCTTTTTCTATGGGGAAACTGTGGTTGTGCAGATGTTGCTGAACTACAGCTTTTAGCATTGGCCATGGCGTGACTGCATGGAGCTTAGTTCAGCAACCAAAGACCACAATTTCCCCCACCCTCTTGGATAAATGTTTTGGTAACAAAACGGCTCCAGGAAAATATAATTGACATCCCCTAAACTCCGCTGAAGATGTTACCTAGCCTGGTAAGGAAATGTTTGGAAACCAACCCACAAGCTCAAAGAACGAACCTTCACCCTCAATACAAACATTTTTATACACTGTGGTGATGCTTCAAACCCATGACACGATCATTTCTGATGTTTACAATTTGAGAGATTTCTATGTTCCATGAGAATACACATCCTCTGAAGCACAGTGTGATGATGATTTGGTGACCAAAAGCCAATTGATCTCTGGGTTTTATACCACAGCGACATGAGGAAATTAATATGTGATTTCCACAGTTCTGTGGGTAACAGACTGATCAATGGATAGTGGTGGTTTTGAAGGCTCTTCAAAAAAAATCCTAAGGCCCTTTATAAATTTAATCTTTTCCTCAGCTACCCCATTTACCTTTAAGATTGGTTATTCTCAGGTAAACTGAATTTCTAGGCCACAACTCCATTTTTGATGAAGGAAATGGTTTTTCTGTGATAGAATTCAGAGCACTGTAAAGAAATCTCTCTCTCTCTCTCTCTCTCTCTCTCTCTCTCTCTCTCTCTCTCTCTCTCCTCACACACACACACACACACACACACACACACACACACACACACACAGAGAGAGAGAGAGAGAGAGAGAGAGAGAGAGAAAGTTTTTTTCACACAGATCTGTCTGATTGATTGCAACTTGGCATTTTGACTGCTATACTGCAGTTCTACTTTTTTATAATCTCTTTTGCCTTGCAGTCCCCCAACTAGGGGCGTTAAGCAGGCTCAAGTCACAACTGCGATACATTACAAATTCAGATTTCTTTTTACACACACACACACACACACACACACACACACACACACACACACGTTGTCTTTTCTTTCCTAAAGAAGTTTTTCTTCATTTAGATGAATTGAAAAATAAAGGATAACATCGCTTAGGAGCAGAATTGTTTGTCAAGGAATCGGTGTCCCTCGGATGTTTTTTTTGAGTGGCAAAACCAGCCCTGACTCGAAAGAGGCCAAGCTCAGGGGAGAACAACCTCCAGCCCTCAGCAGGAGAAGGCAGAGTCTAATAAGTTGTATTTGGCCTCTTCGCCGGTAGGGGACAGCATTGCCACATAACCCGTACCAAAGCGGCGCACATAGGCAAAAGTAAATCAATGGGGCGGAACAAGGGCAGCGCGTGCCACTCTCCGGCGCGCGCATTGCCGGCAGGGGCGCCGGAACCAACTTTCCTTTCGGCCATCCGAGGCAATCGGATCGGGAGACGGGAATTGAGAGACCTGGCAATTTCAACCCGTCTTTGTGGATTGGCAGATTATTATTATTTTTTGGTTGTACTTCAGCAGGTTAACTCAACTTCTCTGGGAGAATTCCCTTAACAGCTTGGAGAGGGGCTGTTAGAAACCAGCAGCCCTGCCTGAGGCAGTCCTCTCCTATTAAAGGCGCTAGTCCGAATCTGGCTCCTGCAAGAAGTACCGTAAATTATTTCAAATGGCGGGAGAGGGAGGGAAGTGGAAACTGCCGAAAAAGGACTCTTTTCAAGCAGGAGTCCCCAATGCCCGTTGGGGCGAGGGGGCACACAGAGTGGGGCGGCCGGTGCTCAATTGCCTTTATCATTTTCCACGGCACTTTCAAGCGGTGATTAAGGAAGAAGCGGGCTGTTTTCACCTTGGAAAGCGCGGGAGTTGAACACGCGCAGCGGGACGTTGTCGATTTTTTTTTCATTCCATGTCAGTGTACCAGAACTTCTGGACAACGCATAAATTATTTTTTGCAAGATTGAAAACTAAGGCGGGAGAACGTGGAGCCTATAAGCCTTGCTTTTATGTAACTCTGGAAGGTGGGGGGAGGGGGAAACTCCCCTTCTGGACTGGGCAGGCAAGCCTACTGGTGTCAGCAGACATCCGGAAGCAATTAGAGCCACCCGTGTGGCTTGAGACACCAGGAGGATGTTAATCCGGTGCTGTCCGCCCCCTCCAAAGTACTACGCCATTCGTCCGATTTGTATTTTTACTAAATGAAAACTCTTATTTGGGCAGCTTTTACTCCGTGGCTTATCGTCGGAGCCCTGTGTGATTAAGCAACCGTAGCTTAACACGATGTGGGTAGCAGACGCGGCCGCTTGCCTTAACCATCGCTTTCTTTTTCTCCGTGTGTGGCACATAAGACGATTCGGATTCAAACCGACGTTATTTCTGTGCCGAAACCGAGTTCAGGAACGTGTAAAAGCCCCACGGAAAGATTAGGAGCCTGGAAATCTTTGCCCAGTGAGCAACCGCCGCCGCCAGCACCATCACCCCAGTCCTCTTTTTACGGCTGCGCAGGGGAGAGAGGAGGGCAAGGCAGGTTTTGAACCCCCGTCAAAGATCAATCTTTATTGTTTATATTATTTGCCACCGTTTATTTGTTGCACAATTCCTGCAGTTCATAAGCTGCTGCTGAGAGCACCTGGCCCGCCGAGTCCTGAACCTAGTGAGGCGCCTCAGGCAGCGCCTCTTATCTTGGCGGCGCGCCATTGTGCCCCTACGGCGAAAACAGGCACACCTCCTGCTTTCGAAGGACAGATCGGTATGCCTGGCCGACCGCGACCCCCCTCCCCAATCCAAAATCGGGACTCTCGGGAAAAGGAAGCAACCGAAAAGACCTTCCCAGCTTTCCTTGATCCCCGCCTCAGAAAGCTCCAACCGCGGAAGCTTTCAGCTTCCCTAAAGCAGCAGCCCTCGTATGTGGGCACGTGGGCGGGCTCTCGCGCTCTCTCCCTTCCTCCTCCCCCCTCCGCGCGCACAAGCTCATTCACACAGATCTGGCAAGCTTACGTTCGCCCGAGCAGCTTTCCAATTGGCTCGACATTCTGGGAGCCTGAAGGCAGGAAAATAAAGGATCACAGCCAAGGCGGCGGTGATTGGCGAAGCTCTTTGCACATCACAGGTCTTTGGAATCGCCCTACAGCTGTTGCTGGAACGTCAGGGCCCGTGACGTTGCACCCCACTCCTATTACTGCTCTCCCAGCTGCTGGGTTGACCTCCCCCCCCCTTTTTTATCGGCCGTGGTCTCCTTCATCTTTTCTTAGGAAGCGTGACAGACACCTTTGCATCTGTGCACGACGCCTCGGCCACGTACCTTGCTCTCTTGCCATGCCTTTCAAGTCCTGCGCATCAACATTTAAAGAGGATTTGGATTTGCGCAGGTAGAGTCCTTCGGTTACCGCGCTTTAACTCTTTAATGTTCAGGCCATTGCATGATTGCGTACTGGAGATTTGACATAGCGGGGAAAAAAGTGAGTTATCTGCATTTTATTCTCCTTCTCTCCCCCAGCCTCCCCCCGTGCATGCATTAGCCAATTGGAAACTTTTTTTTTTTACTAATCTTAATGCTTAATAGAATAGATTATGGATTTTGTAAAAAAATCCTTTAATAAAAGGTAACAGTTGCTATGAAAGCAGACAACTTTTGCCTAATGTTCGATTCTACGCCGTTTATTTAAACGCTTTTTAAACTGCGTGACCTACTTGAATACAGCGGCGCCCCTTACTTCTTTGCCTCGTTTGCTGTTTGGCGCTCAGCCCTGTCTACTAACTTGTTAAATCGGGGTGCGTAGGAATGTTACTTTCGGAGAATAAATGCGGAAGGCAAGAAGGTAGCCAAGACGACTGTTTGAAATTGGGTTATCCTTTCTCTGTGAGAAGATGCGCCAGCGATTTGACACGCAGGTTTTACCGGCCGACTTAAAGGTCGGTCCAGTAAATAGTACCCCGATTATTTATATTATTACATTGCTCTTTCTACTGCCTACAGCTACTCTTTTTTAAAAGGAAATAAGTAACCGAAACATTTCAGCCAACTTCCCTCCAACTGCTTTTATGTTTAGCTCCGCACCAGACATTTCTGCCGTCAGGATTACGATCTAATTACTCCCTGCGTCGCTAGAGGCCTGTCCTAAGACGCCTTGCATACCACTTCCACCCCCGTCCCTTTCTTGCCAGTTAACCATCAGGGAGCCCACCGGAATATAATTTGGAGTTGGGTGACCGGGAGCATCCGCATCTATCACAAATCAGAGAGCTCATACATTCTTTCAGTGCTCTCGCCCAAGATGCCTCTTGCTTCAGTTGAGAACACACACAAACACACACACACACAGAGAGAGCGAGAGCGAGCCTGGAGGGATGCTGAGCAATCCTCCTCCCCCCCTCCCCATTTGCGTGTTACCTATTTGTTTAGCTGATGTTGGTAGATCTGGGTTTTTCTCAAATGTTCAGACAGTACAGGGTAAAGTAGCAAGTGCGCAACGACCGAGAGCTTGGGGTTGTTGTTTTTTCCCTTCTTTTTTTCTTAGTCCCCTCCTTTCCCTACGAACCTGCATGAGAATTTTACTCTTGGTTTCTACCTAAAAAAAAAAAAAAAAAGCCCCGTTATGTCGTTTAGCCTCTGATTCTTTCCCTTTCTTACTTGTAAGCTGCTCTGAGTCAAGGTATACCGCGAGTACGGGTGGCGAATAAATTTGACAAATAAGTAAATAGGAGGGGGTATTTGACTAGCGGTTGGGTAAGGGGCCGGTTGTCTCTTCCATTACAAGGTCCCTTGCTGCTTCGGTCAGCCAAACGCAGATGTAGATGCTAACTTTAGCAATTAGCGCATAATTCAGGTTAAGAAGGGCTTTCAGTAGGGGCAAGTATCATTCCTCCACCCCCGCGAGACTGGCTGTTGTACAACTCCGCGCTATTGCAAAGCTCACTCTCCTCAGGGAGAGACCAAAAAAAAACCCCACGTTCTCAGGCTTTGGCTGCTGGCTCTGAGGACCACCCTCCACCCCCTCCCCCTCCCCCACTTTTCGAGGATCCCTGGTCGACCGGGCCCTCTCAGAACTCCCACCGCCTCCGGCCCCATCGTTGGCAGATTTTCCGAGCAGCTGCTTCCAGGAAGTTCCAGCAGAATTCCCCCCCCCCCAATTCGGACTTTCACCTTTCCTCCCTTGCGCCGGAGACGGTTTTTTTGGGGGGGGGGGAGAGGCGGAGGAAGGAACTTTAGGAAAAGCAGCTGTTTAAGCAGAGAAATGGGCGTGTCGGAAAGCGAGAGAAGAAGCGTCCATATGCAGATGAGAGGGGCGTGGGGAGCGGAGAGCGATTCGGGCCCCGGAAGAGCCAAAAAAAAAAAAAAAAAAAGCCCATATAAAAAAGTACTTGGGAACGTTTTCCGACCAGAACTAGCAAATAGCCTAGAGGCGGAAGGGCGAGCTGGAGGAGCTCTCTGGAGAAGAGCGAAACGGGCGCGCCACGGGACATGGCTCCATAAATAACTCCAAACGGGGCTGCTCCTCCAACTGCGCGTAGGTGGACGCTCGTCTCTCTTGTCTGTCGCTCCTTCTCTTTCTTGCCAGCCTTTCCTTAGAGTGAGGCGGCTCGGTCACGTACACATACATACATACATTCGGCAGGTGGTCGAGAGAAAGCCCGGGTGTGTGTATACCGGTGGATGGGGGGGGGGCGCATAGTTAAAATATTTGTGCCCCTGGTCAAGTCCAATCTGGGGGGTTAGTGGCAGCGGCGGCGGCGGCTTCGCTTCGTGTCTCAACGCAGCTGAAAACTCGAGGGACCTCGATGAATGGGAGGGGGTGGAGAAAAACGACTGCGACCCTCCAGGCTTGAGGATCGCAGCTGTAATTCAGTTTGCTTTTGCATTTCTTTCACCCTCCTCCCCCCTCCCCCACCCCCACTAGGAGCGAAGGAAGAAGACGCCTTGAAAAGGAAACGGTGCCTTTGTTCATTAGTTCTGCCTGTGTCGTTTAAACACACACACACACACACACACACACACACACACACACACACACACACACACACCATCTATAAATTAAGCTGGACCATGGCAGACGACGAAAACGGTCTTAACGGCAGCTCGAACGAGGTCCCTCCGGAGCCCTGCGCGGGCAGTTGCGAGAACAGCCGCTGCAACGTGCTGACCTGGGAGCAAGTGCAACGCCTGGATCGTATCCTGAGCGAAACCATCCCGATTCACGGCCGGGGCAACTTCCCCACGCTGGAAATGCAGCCGCGACAGATCGTGAAGGTGGTGCGGAGCCGCCTGGAGGAGCAAGGCATCGGCGTGCGCGATGTGCGACTCAACGGCTCGGCGGCCAGCCACGTCTTGCACCAGGATAGCGGCCTGGGCTACAAGGACTTGGACCTCATCTTCTGCGCCGATTTGAAAGGCGAGGCGGAGTTCCAGAGAGTCAAAGACGTGGTCCTGGACTGCCTCTTGGATTTCTTGCCGGACGGGGTTAACAAAGAGAAGATCACGCCGCTCACCCTGAAGGTAAATGAAAGGGAGCGCGCTCTCGGTCCCGGCAGGTGGGCTGCTTTAGAGGGACGAGGGCGAGCCTAGAATAAAAGAGATGCCTCAGTTTGAACTGCAAAGTGCCATTGACGGCTCCGTGAGGATTAGACCCATCCATTCGCTCTGCTCTCTCTTACGCTTATTGCCAGCACCGTCTCTTAATTGGCTTCCTCCCAACTATCAATTCTCCTTTGCTTAGGAAGAGCAGGGAGATCCATACGCGTTAATTATAGCCCCGCTCTATAGCTGAATTAAACCGAAGAAATTGGGCTTGTTTAGAGCCCCGGTTTTTTTCTTTGAGCTAAGTCGTATTCATTAGTTATTTCTTTCCTTCCTTGAATTGTGGATGGGCCCGCTAGAGGGAAACAGTGCTCCTCCGTTTCCCTCCCTTTCGGACGGAATAGAGAAGCTGAGACCCATTCTCGCCCCAGGCTGCAGAAACCCACAGTGCTGGGATTTAGTTAAGGATTTTGAGAGCCTAGCCTCTTACGGTCGTGATTTAGCAGAGGTTAACTGAAGCCAAACGGCCTTTTAACAGAAGTTGGGAATCGTCCAAAATCTTTTAAGTTGTTATTCTGCAGGAATTACCTTAAGCTTAAATTTTATTTAGAAATTTTCCAGTTTCTCCAAAAGGTAAAACAGTTTTTGATTTTAAAAATATAAAAAACGAGAACTAGTATCTTTATCCACCTTATTTTTGCCATAATTAAATTACAATTTTCCAAGATAATTCTACTGTTCTTTGTATGCATTTTTATTACATCTTTGGAGGAAACTACTAAACACCCTTGCACAGAACATCCCTTTCGTGCATTTATCATGGCATGAGTCCCCCCCCCCACCACCTCTCTCTGATCTTTAACCACTGCCTGTCTGCAGAGCACGTACTAAATCTATCCACATTGTCTGTTTCTTATGCCTGAGCTCTGGGGAGGACAGGGTAAAGTTGGGATCAAATGCAAATGAAAGTTCTAAAGAGGAAGTGCTGCTACTGGTTTCCTGACCTTTTCTTTTCTCTCTCTCACTCTCTCACTCTCTCTCTCTTTCTCTTTTGGTGGGGGGTATTTGTTTCAAATTGCAGGAAGCCTACGTACAGAAAATGGTGAAAGTCTTCAACGATTCAGACCGATGGAGCCTCATCTCATTATCCAACAACAGTGGCAAAAATGTGGAGCTGAAATTTGTGGACTCTCTGAGGAGGCAGTTTGAGTTCAGTGTAGATTCTTTTCAGATCAAGCTGGACTCTCTCCTCCTTTTTTACGAATGTTCTGAAAATCCAATGGCTGAAACGTTTCACCCGACTATAATTGGGGAGAGCGTCTATGGGGATTTCCAAGAAGCCTTTGATCACCTTTGTAACAAGACCATTGCAACTAGAAATCCAGAAGAGATCAGGGGAGGTGGTCTCCTTAAATACTGCAACCTCCTAGTGAGAGGCTTCAGGGCTGCCTCCGAATCTGAGATTAAGTCCCTCCAGAGATATATGTGCTCCAGGTTTTTTATTGATTTCTCAGACATTGGAGAACAGCAGCGCAAGCTGGAGTCTTACTTGCAGAACCACTTTGTGGGACTGGAGGACCGCAAGTATGACTATCTCATGACCCTTCATGGGGTGGTGAATGAGAGCACAGTGTGCCTGATGGGACATGAGAGGCGACAGACTTTAAACCTGATCACCATGCTGGCCATCCGGGTGCTGGCTGAGCAAAATATCATCCCCAACGTGGCCAATGTCACTTGCTACTACCAGCCAGCCCCTTATGTAGCGGATGCTAACTTCAGCAATTACTATATTGCTCAGGTTCAGCCCATGTTCCCCTGTCAGCAGCACACTTATTCTACTTGGTTGCCCTGCAACTAAGCAGTTTTAATAAGACTTGGGGAACATGTCTTTTTCCAGCAAGCAAATAAAGGGGGAGGGTGGTTCTCCTCTTTTAAAAGTGGGATGTTTTTAGTGCAACGTGGTTTGCTCTTAATTTTTTTTTTATTTTTATTTTTTATTTTTTTGCTGGAGGAAAGTTCTTCTGGTTCTTCTCTCTGGTATTAACTGAGCATGACTTAGAAAAGAACCAAAAGCTATTGGATCCCACCCTAGAGTATGCAACCTGTCTTGAAGAGCAACTAAGATCGCCTTGAAATAAACCTAGGAGAAAGGGTTGATGACAATATGGGTTGGCAATGCTTTGCTCCCATAGCTATGGCAGAGCGAGAAAAAAAAATCTTGAAATCAAAAAGGAACCTTAAGAAGAAGAAGCAAAAAAAAAAAAAAAAGCTAAATATGCTTTCAGGAATTAAAAGTTATATACAGAAATATACAGTTATGTTGGAATAAGGTGTATTTTGGATTCTCTCTTTGGAGCATGCATTATGGGTCGCCACAGAATGTATAGCTTGCTTGAATAGAATGCTTTAAGAGAAATCGCTTGCTCCAAAAAAGAAGAGAGATGGAGGCTGGAAGAAGGGTGGGGGTGGAAGGATTATGGCAAATTTCATTATTTCCAGCTGTGTGCATGCTTCACATTTAAAAAAAAAAATGTGGAAAGCAAGAAAACCAGCTGTAGCAAGATTCATATGCTTTAGGACCAAAGATAAATTCTAGTAAAGACGGGATATGGTAGATTATGAAATATAAATATATATATTTGTATACACAAATTTTAAACAGAAGTGCCTGATTCCTTCAGAGAATTTGAAGTGAGAAAAATATAGTTTTGTGGTTTAATCTTGCATTTTGTTTTTTTTATCAGGGACACAAGAAACTTAAAAAAAAAATAAGCTTGTGAATAAATGGTGGAGGATATTCCTATTTGTTTTCCTTGCAAATACCTATATAAAGGTTATATTGTTGGTGTTCGGCAATCTTTGGTACATAATGTGTATGTTTATTGTTCTGTTTGTGTGCGTGTGTATAACATGTTATATGTATATCACATGTTTTAAACATGGTAGGGAAATGTAGCAATGTTAAGGAATGTTTTAAATGAGCTATAGTGTGTGTGTGTTCCGGCCTGTAACAGGATGTAATGATTGTGAGACACTTTGCAGAGATTCCCATATCAGAAAAATCTTGATAAAAGAAAACAGGAATCGAATGATAAAAGTAATTAATTGGCCTATTTGTGAGCCATAGGGTTTCATAATTGGACAAAACTTTTTAACTCTAAATTATTGTACCTTAATATAATGTGGTTTGAATGTTCAGCTTAGAAATTCCTTGACTACATATCTCTGATGGAGTAAGACACCAACTGAAATGTGGCTCAAACAGATGGCTCCCCTCATTCCCAAATATTGTTTTACTTGGTGATTTAAATACTTAATGATTAATATTTCTTTTGAAAAGCAAGCAGAATGCACTGTGCATCCCACGACCACTATAACTTTGTAAATGTGAAATGAACCATTTGTGTTGCACGTTTGTGTGTGTGTGTGTGTGTGTGCCTACAAATGCATACATACACTATCAAACATCTTTGATTTGACTGCCACCCTCTATTTTGCAGCTTAATATTGTGACTTATTTAAAAGGAATCATTTTTACTTTCTCAAAGAATCAATCTACTGCATGTTCTTCCACCCCCTTTGTGTTGATTACTATATAGAAGAGTCCCTGACTTTGTTTTCTTTTTCTGCCAGCAAACTGGTTTTTAAAAGGAAATGAAATCTAACTTTAATACAGAGTTAAGAGATCTTTAAGATAATTAATTAAGGAATGTATGTGTGGTTTTAAGGCTCTGATGCTTTACGAATTGTGTTGGAGCCTGGTCTGTCTGCTTTCCCCCCATTTTTAATGATGTGACATTTCCAGTACTGATGAAGGAAGGCCACCAACACTTACAGAATCCAATGTTATTTAGATGCATCCTTAATCAATGATAAAATGGGGTGACATTTATAATAGAAGGATTAGTAAGTTGCTAATCAGACAATCTATCCTTGCCCCCCCCCCTGTAAAGCTACTGGCAATCTATTTTCTCTACTAGTTTTTAAATTGTGAAAGATTTCCCCGTATCTACAATAATTTTGTGTTAGTTGAATAGGATCCCCCATGTGTTTACAGTTCTCAAAGTTTGTCCTCTCTGTGAATCCTGTGGGGAAACCATCTTTTGTTTTTTTCTTGAAAGCACTTTCTGCTTGCCTTGGCTTCTGATGCTTGATAGGTATGACTTTTTTTTTTAAAGCTTGTTTCGATTAGTGTTTAGTTATAAAACAATGCTCATATTTGTTAATCCACTCTCCTCTGTGGCGAATGAAAAGAGAGGTAAACATTTGCATTTGATAAAAATCAGACTTATCGTCTGTCTTTAATTCCTATGACCATCCAGAACAGAATAATGAATGATTCCAGTCCAACTTATGTGGAGTGGAGGGTAGGAGGTTTGGGGGGGGGGGACAGAGCCTGCAACTATGCAAGCTCTTCCTGGTGGAAACTGAGCTGAGGGCTGGGGAAATGGGATCAGCTGGTAATGTGGTTTTATCTTTTCCTTACCGCAGTGACTTTGCTGCAAAAAAAAATGAGTCATATCCACTCTTTTAAGGATCACTGGCAGGACCTCGGCCATAAGAAGCTGATAATATATTGCATATTTTCCTTTGGAGTAGTTTTTCCATTTTTAAGAAATCATTATTAGTCCAGGCATTATAGGTCTCCCGGCCAACACTCTGTACCATATTCCATAGTTCAGATTTTAGTTGCTGTTTACAGCAAATGGATGTGGTAAAATCCTGGCAATTGTTTTTTTCCCCCTCTACTTCAAGTGCTCAGTAATTTTCATTAGCCTACAGGCATGTCCACACATTTATATTGGGAAGGGGAGGGGTTGTAATCGGTGGGGGCTTTTAATAGAAAGTGTCTGATGCTACTGACTGCTGGCCAAACAACTTAAAACCTGTATTTTCCAAAAATTAATTTTTTGTGGGCACATACTTAGCTCTTTCTAGGGAATGGCAATATCTATCTTCCTTTTTCAATTTTGATGGACTAATAGCTTGAGGAGAAAATGCTTAATACTGCTTAAGATCCTGTACTATTTCTTCAGTAGATTTTAAAAGTTGTTGCAGTGCTTAATTTAAGACATCTCATTTATAGCTAAATTGATTGGGGTTCCAGTGAATTATCTCTGAATCATGGAAGATCTAAATTTGTTCTGTTTCAACAGTGGCTGGAAAGAGAAAGGGAGAATGTAAGGTTTTGTATTCTATTGAATTTTAAAAGAATAATTTGAATAGTGAATATTTTGAAAATCTCATTTGCCCATATCTGTTGTGTTGATCGCAAATGATTGGAAGTGTTACTTTCAGCCCCAAATTGTTCAGTGAAATTGTACTGTATATAATCTGTGATATGCACACACGAAACAAATTCTTTGAAAGGAAACAAGCAAAAATTAAATGACAATAAAAATGCCAGCAGGATTATTGTTTTCATAACTCATTTTATTCAAAGGCTTTAGAACTTACTTGCTGCTAGGTATTGCACAAAGTTTCATGCACACCTTATAAATGCCTATTGTAAAATGCTTTATATGCAAGTTATATTATTGAAGGCTCTTATTCATTCAGAGAAAGCTTTAAAACAGTTTGTGGAGTTTAAAATTGTGTAAAGGAAAAGAGACAGAGAAGGAAATATATCTAAAGACATATTCAGCACTTTTTTCTTTTTTTTCTTTTCTTTTTTGTTTAATTTGTTTTCGGATGTCTTTCCAGTTTCCATTGCAATGGACAAAAATCAAATGTCAATATATAAGTTTTGCTGTTTGCTATGATTACAACTACTTAAACTTTGGAAAGCCTACGCATTCTACAATGGGCTGTACATGGCACTGAAAGCCCTTGAAGTCAATTCCATTCTCCCAAATTCTACAGAATTCTGAACTTGTAGTCTTCAGCAACGCATCCTGTTACATCCAACTATTCCTCCTGCTATGGGAATTTGTTGACTCTGGGTTTGGTTGGAGGTTTAACCAAGTAAAGGCTGGAAAACAGACCCTTTTAAGTAACAAAAGCATTTGCTTCTGGGCTAGAGGAAACAGATTGTGAATTTTGTTTACAGAATCCAATATTTGGAATATTTGTAAATAAAAATGTTATTTTTTCTATTTATCTGCGTCTGATCTTTCCAGTGTCAAAAACTATTTTGAAATCCATTGTCTGTTGACTTCTGCTGTTGAATTGTCAAAAAAGGGGTTTTACTTTATGGCATGGCCTTAAAGAGTACTTCGGCTTACTGGAAAATGCCATTAAAGATGCTATGCAGCATGGGAAAAAGCCTTGGCTTTCTTCCAGCATGACTTTTGCAAGCACTTTTTGAACTGAATTCTTCATGGAAATGCATATGCCAGCCTTCTCCAATCCAGTGGCCAGGTGTGTTTGACTTGCAATATCCATACTAGTTGGGAATTAGTGTTGTGGTATCAACCCATCCTGAGGGGCACCAAGATGGAGAACTGGAATAGTCATGAAAACATGCCTTTTCATTCAACTTCCAATCTCAAATCAGGATGAGAGCAAAACCTATCCATTTGCCTGTCATTTGATACTGGGATAAAAGGGATTATCTAAATCAAGGTATGCCTTTTTAGCCAAATGCCTCTTCCACGAAAAAACTGTAAACCAGAGATGCACATTTACAGAGAATAAAATATTTCAGTGAGAAGCATCTTGACATATAAGCTTCATGGGAACAATTGCATAGCAAATAGCCTCTTCAATGTAAGTCTAATTTTAAAAATACCATAAAGGAAAATAAGTTTATACAATTTTCTTTCCCCAAAACTACAGAGATTGGAACACATTCATGTACGGACACCTGCAGTGATTTTAAACTTTGTACTTTTAAGTTTCCAACAAAGCAAATAAAAATGCATAAAAGTCTGATTTTCGAGAACATAAAAATTAAAGTGAAAATTAATTGTATTAGGGAAAATTGTGGAAAAGTTGTATGATTTTTATAAGCATGTTAGGTACTAAATAAACTCTGTCATAAATAAAAGTAGTAATTATTCTCCCAGCTGTAACGCCTCTATGTGATGAAAGCACAATGACTGAATTTATTACTAAATTAATAGATTGTAAAAAAGAATAAGACAATGGCTGAGAAACATGGAAGTGTGATGCCTCCTTTATGAAGCAGAAATTGGATATAAGTTTTCAGGGAAAGAAGGGGAGATCTTAGCATTTGAGCACCCAGATAAATACTTAAAACTTCAGACAGTTTTCTAGTATACAAAGCATTTGTTATGTTCACATAGCCAGCATAATAAGATTATTTTTTGTTTATGCACTGAAAATCCATCAAGGCCCACTGGCATCACAAAGGTGCATCGGATTTATGACAGGCCAGTGCCCAGAGAATCCTGGGAACTGTAGTCAAGTTGCTGAGAGCCTCCTCCCAAGCTACATTCAGGATTCTCTTCAGAAAGAGAATGACTTTGGAAACTATGTTTCTCCATATTAGCAGTAGTGCTAAGTATCTTTAAAAATGTGCTTTGGAATAACTTTCATGGATATTGTACATGCTTATGGAAATATATTTAAAAAAACTGGAAAAAAAATCACCCAGAAATTTCAAATATTTTTTCCCCCTACTGGAAAGCTCGTTCTCCATGCTTTTGCTTCCCAGGATCTGGACTGTAAACTGAAGGTATGAGGCCAAAGTGAAGGATCAAAGCATGTTTGGAGATGGATTATGAACCCATTGGGTAAGGGTATGTCAGAGTTTTATAGTCAAACAATCTGCCGTTTCATACTGCTTTCCAGTCCCTCACCCAGGACCTGGGAGGCCCTGCTCTCTGTTCTGCTAGCTTTAAGATTTAACATTAATTTATAATTCTAGAGAAAAATCTTAATCTGAAATTTTGGATAGCTTCTGCCATTAGGAATAGCCAATAACTACATCAGTCTTCGTTAATTTACGAGAAACAGATTCATGTAAATATTCTAGAGACTGACCATTATCCCCCCATTGTTAAAAAAAATACGAGTTTTATTTTGGGTTGTTAACTTTCAAATGCTAGGAGCTAGATGAGCATGAGTTATGCTCTGAAAAGCTTCCAAAGCTTAATGCTATGAATTATTAATACTAAGAATTTTTTGGTTTAAAAACTCGCAGAGCGAATTCCTTGAGTATTAATAAAATCAGGAACACGTTAAATTCAGTTGTTAAAAAAAAACAACTGTAAAAGTGTTGGATAGAAAACAGAAAAGATGAGTCTATAAAATTGGCAGTGTGGGCACGAAATCTACTGCCTCTCCAGAGGATAAATGTAGATGGCTTTTCTCAAATAGTGTCAACATGCCATTAATAAATAAAAAGCTGCAACAGTTCACAATATATAAATGTTTCTTAAATATTTGTGAGTATCTGAAGACTATTTTCACATTTAAAAGAGAGCGGAGAGAAAGCTCTCAGATGAAAACTTTTATATCCTCACCAACTCAAGCTTGACTCAGCCTTCCATCCTTCCAAGGTGGGTAAAATGAGGTCCCAGGTTGTTGGGGGGGGGGGGAATAGGCTGACTCTGTACACCGCTTAGAGAGGGCTGTAAAGCGGTATATTAAGTCTAAGTGCTATTGCTGTATTGATACGTTTTTTTTGCATTAGTCTGAGATTTTGGAAGCTCATCTCAACAATCCATTAAGTCTCCACTGTACCCAGCTGATATTTGCATGCTAAGAACACGAGTTTGAATTCAGAAGACATGCACAAAGATTCCATATTTGAATGTCATAGGAGGATCCTATGGTACATAGGTGGACTGGCAGATTAAATCTGCCTGCCTGCTCCAAAACATGTGGAAGATTTTGCAGATGCTGAAATGGGTGACATATTGATGGAGTCAGAGAAACATATATCGATAGTTCCAGATTGTACCATTCCATGGACTGTGAGCTACAATTGTTAGAGAACTTGCAAGAACCAAGAATCCAAATTGTGCTACATCTATCCTATGCTTGCTAATTATTTTAGCTGCCTAATTATTTTCAAAGCTATTTTAAGATACTGAAAGACACACATGGCTGATATCTGGGATTTTTTTTTGAAATCCATTTCTATTTCTATGAACCTGATAAATTTTAATATCTATATCCATGGCCTCACTTTCTGATTCACCATTAAGAACAGCATGAAATATGGGTACTCTGGGAAGAGACTTCTCTCGAATGAGCCGTGGTGGTGCAAGCTTGCAGGCTAATTCTGCTGACTGCCAGGAGTTCGATCCTCACCGGCTCAAGATTGACTCAGCCTTCCATCCTTCCGAGGTCGGTAAAATGAGGATCCAGATTGTTGGGGTAAATAGGCTGACTCTAAACCGCTTAGAGAGCACTGTGAAGCGGTATATAAGTCTAAGTGCTATTGCTATTGCTTGTAACAATCTATTTCTTTGATAAGCCCACTCTATGCATAGTTGTTTTTGTTTGCTGTTGAAGGATTTTTAAAGCTTATTTCTTATTTCTTCTATGGTGAAATATAACCTGCTATGCTTTTAACTAATTTTATCACACTGAAAAATATAAATGTAATAAATGTTATTCCTTTCTTTTTTTATTAAGCATTTAAATTATTACGTATGATACTTCTGTAATGGCTTCCCTCCAGAGCCCAAGGCAACAGGCACACTCTTCTCCTTTCCCTTTACCCCCAAAATACTGATATACAAATAGCAATTAGCCAAGTCAGCTGCTAAATTTTGTGATGAATGGAGATTTGAATCTGAATCCTTTATACTAACTAATGGGAAGGAACACTTTTGATAATATATACCTCTGAGCCAATCCTGTTTATACCTAGTTAGTGCACTATAAATAATGAGCCACTTGATGAAACTGGTTTTCTTTTTGGAGTGGGGAGAAACCAACCATTTCTGATACTTTTTCAGTTGTCCCCCCCCCCATCAGCATGCACAAAATAATGGATGCATGCTAATGCATGACAAATGTTAAGCATACAAAACGAATACAAGAGAATTAAAACTACATAACTGTTAGCACAAACTGAATTCATCCATCAAAACAATTTAAAATCAAATGTTGGAAGCATAGTGGTGAAGAATCAAGTGGGAGGACATGACTCAGAGCCCACAGCTTGTGTGTGCTCCCAAATCCCCCTTTTTTTGTGGATCAAAATTTTTTTGGAGTCATGCCACTGAAAATTTACTGGCATATTGAGGAACATTAGGAATGCGATTTCCCATGGCATTTTATGAACAGACTTTGTACAATCTAGACTAAAACAAGCAAACAAGAAATCATATCAGAGCCACTTCAGTCTCTCGATGCAAAAATGTGCTGGTCTGGGGAAGAGATAATAATGTCGAGATCAATGGTACTTTGGCTGGCATCAATTCACATATTTGGGTTTGTTGGGAATCAGACTGAGATGACAGGTTCTGAATCTGAAGCCTTCGATAGATTCCTAACAGCTTACTAATAATTCTATCTACTTTCTTGGTTTACTATCATCATCCAATTTTTTTTAATTTTAGTTTTAAAGAATGTGTACATAATTATCTTCTAATTTATTTATTGTTCTAAAACCCACAAGGACAAAGTCTAAGCCAAAAGGCAGAAAGTAGTCCTCAAGGCTAGGTAAGGCATGAGGCAAAGCCAAGGGAGTATAAGCCAAAACAAACAATTGTTCCTGGCAAACTCTCCACGGCTTCTCCTTAAGTCACTCCATTCCAAGTGTTCCTTGGAAAAAGGGGTGAGGCGGCCTTCTCCCTAGCAGCCTTGCAGCCCTTCTCTGGGCTTGCCTACGCTCTGCTCTCCATCCCCTTGGATCAAGTGGAGGAGGCAGCTATTCCTCATCAGAAGGATCTGCTGCCTATCAGCAGCCATTCCTCTCCTGTGTCTGTGAAGGCAGGCAGTTCTCCATCCAGTCGAGCATCTCTCCAATGCCTGAGAGGCTTGGGACAGCATCGTCCTCAGCCCCTGGCCTCCCCAAACATTCCAAACATCTCCATTTGCCATCCCTGTCAGATGTTCCCAGTTCCAACTCCTCCTCCAAACCAGTCTCCCATGGAGCCATGACTCTGGATAAATAGATGAATGAATAGATAACCTTTATTGTCATTTTTTTCCTGTGGGCACAATGGTACATATTA